TTTCTCATGAACAAAAAGCTTCATGCCTAAAACTTCAACCAAAAAGGAAAAAAAAAAGAAACAGAGAGATTGAGAAATAATGATACTAAAGTTAGGAATTAAAATTAAACGGTGGGTGTGAAAAGAAAAATGAAGTGGTCGAGAATTAATAAAAAGAGAAATAGTTAGGAGGTCATTTTGGAATAATAGGTTGTGTAAAAAATTAATCCATTTCAAAATTAGGTCCGGCTATATATTTAGAAGGGAAGTGAGGAGAGTAAGATTGAGGGTGTAAATAGAACCACGATAACCATCGAGAATTGTGGTGCAGTTGTTATGACCGGAAAATTTATTGAAGAAATTATTATATAAGCTAAAATTTCTTAAAATTCTCTGTATTATGACTATGAATACTTTAATGATAAGTATTTATTGATAATAATATTGAATAGAAAATTATAAGCTAAAGATCAGAAATTTCTGAATTCTGATATAGTTACTGAATTTCGGACTGTAATTATGAAAGAGGCACGGAATGCTATGCTATTCCCACAAGCGGGTAAACACATGAATATTAATTTTAAGAAATGAAAACGAATTGAAAAACATCAATTTTAGGGTTTTAGAAACAATTAGAACAAAGAACAGACGAAAAAGGGATTCGGAAGGCCGAACCGAGAAAATTATAGTGTTTGACCGATTAGGGTTGACCGAGTTGCAATTTGTTGACCAAGAGTCGGCCAATAGGTCACTCTTGAAAGGTTAGTCAAGATTGAGTAAAGTTGACCAAGTTGACCAACTGTCTAAAAAACGCAGATAAAACGTGCACCGGATAGGAATTAAACTAAACCGAAATAAGATAGTTATTAAAAGTGAATGGTTGAGATTTAAGGTGATTAATGGATGGAGGGCTGGGATTAGGATACATGGAAAGAGAGGATATGGCCGGCCAAAACTTAGGGGAGAAGCCAAATAGATATTTTGATTTTCTTTTCAAAAAGGACCCTATAAATGCCAAAATTACACCCAAATCCCCCATCACTTTAGGACCGGGTTTGTAAGGGAAAAATGCAAACAAAATGTTCATTTTCCAAGTAAAAAACCAGAGAGCACTCAGCCATAGAGAGAAAAACAAAATTTTCCAAAGTGAGAAAAACGAGTTCAAATCGAAATCGGCGGAAAACAATCGTTGATTAGCGCCACTAGAGCTTTCCTTCATTCTTCTAAGGTAAAATTTTAATTTTCTCCTCATTTTCCACTGTAGCTGCATGTCCATGAACAGGAGAAACCATGGAAAATTTTTGCTAAGAATAATGATAAAAAAATGAGAAAGGCCGTGATATGTGTTTGAAAGGTTAAAATAACGGATAAAACGAGCTATGGTTAGCAAGGGAAACACGAAAATTAGACGAAATTCTGCCGAAATTTCGTTTGAGAATATAAACCAAACCCGGTTATAATGAAGAATAGGAGGAATGAAATGTGTAAAATAAGTTGATTAGGTGATTGAAGATGTGTGGAAACCTAAAATGATGAAAATTCTTAGTTTCAGGATGATTTCCGAAATAGGTCCAAAATGGTTATTTTAGGCTAAATATGCACGAGTTTGGTGCACATTGGTGATATAGGAGATGTCTCGGTCCAGATACCGAACATAAAAATCGTAGATCGTTTCAAGGACTTTAGACACGACATGCGCACTTTAAGAAAATAACATTCATAGAACCACGAACTCGAGTTAAATTGAATTGCAATTATTGGTCTTAGATTACAAATTTAACAATTCAAAATTTATATGATAGGATCAGTACATGATCAAGGCAACAGAGTTTTTGGTGACTCGAAAGTCGTGAGTTTAGTGGAATTTCTGTAAGTACCAGCAGTTTTGTTTTGTCTACGACATGAATAAGCATATTTCTTTGTGTTGCACAAAATTGTGCATATTGTAGGTTCAATGCACACTAATATGTGGAAGATGCTTCTTCATTATTATTTATTGCGATGAATGTGCTTATAGACTTAAAGTAGCAGTAGAATTTTTATCTGTGAAAAAGTCAAAGCCAACAAAAGTCAAACTTTGAAATAAAGTCAAATTTCTTAGGAAATTGACAGAAATGCTTAAAAATGCAATATAAGATTAAAACTACCGTCATGATAAGAAAAGATGATAATAAGACGATTTACGAAGTAAAGATGATAAATGATAAAAAGTTAATAAAACTGTTTGTACCGATCTTCACAAGGGAGATTATTATGAATAAAATCAAGGATGAGTTGATTTCGGGTATCTCTCCCACTCCTCATTGGGTATGTGTGCAACGGTACAACAGGAACGGGGCCCGTAAGAAGTAAAAATTATAAAAATGAAAGACATAAGAACGAACGAAAGAAAAAGAAGTATGACATGAATGAAAGAAACGAAAGGAAACAAAGTATGAAATGAAAGAGGGCATAATACGATAAATGTTTTAATGTTTAGAAAATGTGTTAGGATGTATGACATGAATGCATATATGGTATGCATTACTGATTGCACTTATTGTGTCTGATGTTACTTACTGAGAGAAAGCTCATTCCATTTGTTCGTGTTATAGGAAGCTCGGGTTAGGCACTGGTTCCCTAAAATCTATTGGTGGGCGTGGAGAAAGGATGAATCAGGAGAGTGTGGGCAAGTGGGTAATGGATGCACCATGTGTTTTGAAAACGCTACTATGTGTATAAAGTATATTGTATTATATAAGTAAGCTATGTAATGAAAGTAAAGTATACGAGACAACGAGGCTAAGTTTAGCAACCTTAAGTCACAAAGTATGTTAATGTATCCAAAATACTATTATGTTAATGACATTTGAACGGCAGTAGTATGCAAATGGTATGTTAGATGTATTATCACACCTAGGAAAAAGGTTTTAAAGTTTTAAAAGAAATTTTATCTACGGATTATTTAATATTTAGAAGTTGAAAATGTTTTAGGAAAAGTATTTTTTTAATATTTGAGTTTTACTATAAAATATTAATAAAGTTTTATCCTGTCAAAGTATATTAGTATTTATCTTACTATTGAAATAAAAAATAGCCTAGAATTAAGATTTTATAGTTTTAAAGTAGTAGAAGTTAAAATATAAGCTAAAAATGAACGTAATAATGATGACTAGAAGTAAGGGTCGTCACAGCTGTAGTCAGGACGCCTTTATTAGGACGCCTCTGCTCGTCCTCTTAGGTTTGAAACTCCATAGCCACATGAAGGTTCGAGCATAATTGGGAAATTAAGTGGGGGCACTCGTGGCAGGTGGGGGAAACTAGTTTGATAGTTGAGTGGAGCCTAGTTCAGGCTCTTTCCATTCCTCAGTGGTCTTCAAAATCGCTCCTTTTTATATAGAAAAAAGGAAAAAAAAAAAAAAAAAAGTAACCACGATAAGATTATTTTTTATAGTCATAATCCACAATCGCTCAACTTCGTCAGTTTGTTCTTAGAACTAGATGATTATTTATCCTTTTGTGACCAATAATTTGAAAGTTGGTCGGACACGAAAATTTAAACATATATATTTGTCGTTTTCATACAAATATGTATTGAGTCAGCCCATGCTTCGTCATTATATATATGCGCATATTAACGAGAGAGGTATCCAGGAATTAATTCTATGGAAACAGCGTCCACGAGATCAAAGCAAATTTTCTTAAGGTGTGTATAAGTTTTGGTTCTGGTTTTGTTGGAACTTAAGTTTGGAGATATTCATCGACACAAGCGTTTTTAGGATTGATGGCCATTGTACATTAAGGTGTAAGTTTTATTGTTTTACCTTTTTATCCTAAAAATAAATAAATAAATAAAAAAACCTTATGTTGTCGTTTCCAATAATTTTTTTTTCCTAGAATGACATTACAAATTAGCAGCTTTTATGTGTTTTAATATAGTTTTGATGCTCGAATTCCTGAATGTTAGAAGTGGTGCAGATTTATTTCTATCGTTAAACTTGCAACTATACTAGATTGCTTGCCACAAATAGAATATAAACTTGAAAAAATGTGACAGTGGCTTCTTTGATGCATTTTTGGACATAACACACATGATACTTAAATTTTTTTTTTTTTTTTTTTTTTTTGTAAATAAACTTACCTACTATTCATCATATTGGTTCTGCTCATGAATGATATGAAAACTGTATGATTGACGTGCAGAAAATTAAAGTGGAGATTGTTTATTAGTTACGTCTTAGAAAAATCAGAAAGAAAACGGTGGAAATGGGCGGATCGTACATCTATTAAGGTGCTTCTCATTTAAATAAAACAGGATAGGCCATGACGAGTCACACAATGCAAGTATGATTCGTTGGAGTGTAAAAAACGCTTTCTAATTCAGTGCTCTTTGCTGTGCCACCATGCATAACATATGATAAATTTGTAGCAAATTTAACATCTGATTATTATCTGTTGATATGTTTACTTTTTTAATTTACATTTGTAATTTGCATTTTCAAATTATTTTAAGTTAAATTTTACTTTTTACAACTTTTAAAACTTAATAATTATGATAAAAAGGAAAAACAATATTTGAAATAATTATGATAAAGAGGAAAAAAATATTTGAAATAGTATTGTGTATTAGAGGACAAATAAAAACTTAATAGTTATGATATGTTACATATTATTTGTATTATGGTCTTGATAAGTGTGCCAACTCAATTATTGGCATGTACTGGTATATCTTTTGTTCCTCTGTTACCATTTTATTAAATATTGATTAAAATAAAACAAGCTGCAGTAGATTCAAGACACTATTCCCTCATGAATCACGACGCACCTGGGTAAAATTATAAATTATGATTCAGGTATCAAAGTCTTAAAAAATGTACCTTTTGCCGGGTGCAAGTGTTTATTTGAAAAGTGTTTTGTTTGTGCTCGTTTTTTAGTTTTGATTTTTGGTTTTTGTTTTTGTTTTTGTTTTTTGTTTTTTTTTTCCCTCAAATGTCTTTGATACATCAGTTTCTATGTAGAATTTCCTTTAAAAGACCATAGAAATGGGAACCGAAGATGTCAGACCAAGCAAATTGCAAGATCCGGGACCAGAACAGCATGCGAACGTAGTAGATCAGTACAGGAAGCCTTTGCCCTACCTACTGGAAGATTCCAGTAAGTTATAAATCTGTCAACTCTACTTGAAAGAACCGTTTTCCTTTGTTGTCAAAGGGTCAAACTAGTTGTCAAAGACAAAAATAAAAAGAAAAAGAAAGAATCCCAAAACAAGCTGGACATCCCTTGACAATATACAAGCCTCTCTAGTCTCTTACCCTCCTTTCGCTCTCTTTCTTCCTTTTTGAAAAACATATATAGCTATAAAAGACTAATTCTTGCCCATTCCAAGATAGCTAATAAGGTTTATTTTATTTTATTCTTGAATAAAGTTCTATTATTAAGCTGAAAACCGGGAACACAACGCATTAAATAAAGGCCACTACGAAATATATATATATATGTGTGTGTATATCTATATATTTTCTCTTTAACAGTGTTCTGATACGTGATTCTCAATACTTGTGGAACTAGCAAAAGAATTTCTCTACCGATGTTGATCGTGGATTGAAGTTCAGTATACAGTATACCTAAGAATTCTAGGAAACTACTTAATAGTGTTTAACACATGAAAAACATAACAAGAAAAGGCTAAAATGGGACTTAGGTAGCGTTAAACATAAGTCAATATACTATGCAAAAAATAAAATAAAATAGAAATCTATTAATCTATTAATTGATACAAATTAATGTCAGAAAAATAACATCTTTTAAAATTTAATCATTCGCAGAAAATATGGAAAAGTGAAGAAGAAAAAATTGCAACTAAAGACTCAAAACTAATAGCATTGAAGAAATTACAATACAAATTAAATTAAAGAACTACGAGCTTTTTTCAAAACTAATGACTTTAGAAGAGAAAGGTCATGGTTCGTGCTTTAATTAGCGTTAAATAAGTGTTTCAATGCTTAAGGTCCCGTTCTTTTCGCTGATTCGAGTTTAGAATTCGAGTTTTGCTACAATAAAAAGTTCTCAGAAACAGTCACATCTAACTTTTTTGCTACAGTAAAAAGCTCTCACACAACATCACATCTCAACTCGAATTAAAAACTCAAATTAGCGAACCAAACGGATATTAAGTTTTGATGACAATATGCCTCCAAACGAAGGAAAACTCGATTTCCATCATTTCTGCCTCAGGCACTCAGCTAGACAGTCAACAATAATATAGTCTCGAGCCACCACACCAAAACCATCCTTAAAAGGCTGCATCCATGTTGAGTTTCATCACTCCCCATGACGGCGGCTCCTGAGAGACCGTCGCCGAAGACGAACATGTTAGCTCCCTCCAGTAGAGCTCACAGAGCATATAGTAACGTATCCTTGTATTCACTAAAGGAGCGGTAAATTAATACCTGATACTAAATTATGTATCATCAAGGTCAAGAACCAATCGAGTCTGAGGTTTTTGAAATTCACCGGTCAACTCTTGAGAGAAAACTACCGGTTTGGCACTCAAATTATGTTACTGAGAGCATAGAGTAGTTTGGAGTATTTCTTGTTGTCATGGTCAAGATAGTAAATTAATATAAATCAGGTCGAAAAAAATTTCTGATCATCCTATTTAGTACTGAACATCGTTTCATGTGTAAACCGATTAATTTGAAATATAGAACGAGTAACTCTAGTTTAAGTGAAAGTAAGTTTTTATAAATAATTATAAAAAAAAGGGGGACATAGTAAAAGAATTTGTGATGCGGCGCTTGACGAAATGAACGAACAATATTTTACATATATATTTTCAAAATTTTACGCAGGAGAGGCAAGACAACAATATCTACATGCAGGGGTTCCCCTATACAGAGCTGCATTGAGGGGTGACTGGACAGCCGCTCAAACAATCATCATGGAAGACAAGAAAATATTACATGCGGCTATTACAATAGCAGGAGAAACTGTTCTTCACGTGGCCGCAGGAGCGAAAGATGTTCATTTTGTGAAGCAATTGTTGGATTTGATGGACGAAGCAGAGGTGGAATTGCAAGATTGCAATGGGAACACCGCCTTTTGCTTAGCTGTTGTATCTGGAAGTGTAGAAATTGTTATGATTTGGATGGAAAAAAATACTGAGTTGCCACTGATTCCGGGCGGGCGGGGAAACAAGCGATTTGAATACTGCCGGCCCGCTCGCTTTTAGTGACCATTAATAGTTCTCCTTACTAGTTAATTATCTCTATTACTTTTAACATACTGCTATATAAGCTACAATTTTCTGACTTTAGTCTTTATGGATATTGGACCGCGTCTATATATAGGTTTAGCCTTGAAAATGCTTGACGACAACAGTGCACTGGCCATCGCGCGTGACGTAAATGGTGAGACAGCGCTGCATGTCTTAGCTCGAAAGCCATTGGCATTTTTTAAGCGAAATACAAGCTTATGCAAGAGCTACTTTAACAGAAGTATGTTTCTTTCTACTACCCCCTTTTTTGTTTTTTCCTGTTTTGTTTTATATTTAGAAAGGTATTAGACTGTTAGTATGGCAAATTAACAGATGCAAATATTCCGTGCAGACAATTTGGATTTCTAATGTTTCCACTTGCCTAATAAGCTAGCATAGGCTACGGTGTAGCGAAGCCATGTTATAAAGAATTCTCACTACATCAATAAAATCTCACTACATCAATAATAGAAGTTGTATTTAGTACTGATTTAACTCCATCATCCTAGGTTTGACATCCTCATACCATACAAATTCTGTAGAGAGCGATGCCCTTAAACTTACGAGAGGCATATGGAAAGAAATTTTGGTTTCTTTACCTGACTTGGAGGTAAAGCAACTTATTGACAAACCATCAAGATTTTTATTTGAAGCGGCCGAATTAGGGAACTTTCAATTTTTGGCGGAGCTTATTCACTCTTACCCTGATCTGGTATGGGAAGTGGATGAGAAAAACCAAACCATCTTCCATGTTGCAGTGTTAAATCGTCATGCAAACATCTTCAATCTAATACATGAGACTGGCTTCGTCAAAGAAGTCATATTAACCTACGAAGACGGTGAGAATAACAATATTTTACACCTCGCTGCGACATTACCGCCTAAACATAGATTGAACCCTGAGGTTGGAGGAATATTGCAATTACAACAGGAGTTATTATGGTTTGAGGTAAACCCTTTACATATAGCTATAAATTCGGTTCCCCGCATTCCTGTGAATCCAACAGATTGGTAATTAATCTTCGATTTGAATACTTAATTTTGCAGGCTGTGAAGAAGATCATGCTACCATCTTACGCAGAAAAGAAAAATTCTAATGGCTTAACCCCTCAAGATTTATTCACTTTAGAACATGCCACAATGCTTAAAGATGGAGAGAATTGGATGAAAAGTACAGCTACATCATGCATGTTGGTTTCCCTGCTTCTTACCACTCTAGTTATTACAGCGGCCTTCCATGCTATAAACAATATTAAAGAAAGAACTCCGTTTTCATCGGACGTTCTCAACGTATCCGAATCAGTAGCATTAGTTTCATCTTCAGTCTCAACCCTAGTGTTCTTCTCCATTCTCACATCAAATTACGGAAAAAAGGATTTCCTTTGTTTGCTACCCTTGAAGCTAATAGTCGGAGTTGCTACACTTTTCGTCTCTATGTCAAGCATGATGGCAGCATTCATTGGAAGGTTCTCCGTGTCTCTTCCTCGTGATGGACTAAAGTGGGTTCCTACTCTGACTTTTATGGGTATATCTATTCCAGTTGCTTTAGTTATTCTCGTACAACTGTACCAACTTCTATGGAAATTGTGGGATTCTACATTTGTCTCCAGACCTTTGTCAGGGAAAGGCAAGAATCATGTGCTTCATAAGTAACTAAGTGCCAGCTTGTACGTGGAATCACAGGACGCTAGCTTGTGTGATGAGAGCGTGCACTTTTCATGTAGAAAAAAGCTAAATGGCTCCGCGACGCTGAATGGCTCCGCAGACATATAAGGTGGGCCCATGCTCTTGTGGGGCCCACCCCCATGTGTGTGCGGAGCCTTAGCTCAGCGGAGCTGTTTAGCGGGGCTCTTTCATGTATTATAGTTGTTATTTCAGGATATGTCACTTAATGGTCTGTATCTTTATATGTGCGTGGGGAATTGCAGCTCCGCGGACATGTTTAGCAGAACTCTTTCATGTATTATAGTTTTGTATATATGCCAGGATCTGTTCCTTAGTGGTCTGTATCTTTATGTGTATCTTCTACTATTTCCTATTTTAGTTGCATATGTCTGTCCTTCCTTAGATTCACGTTTTCTGTGAGTGTGCTCCTTCTTCCCCACCTATAAGACGTGAGTGATTAAGCAAAAATATTAATAATAATATTTTACGCACAACATAATTTCACCTACATTAGAATTTAATTAGCGTAAGAGTTTATTATTTTTAGTTCGACCATTTAAGATTATAAAAATAATTTTTTAATTATAATTCCTTGATACAAGAGAAAACCTTTTGAATCTAATTCCAAGGCAAAACCCCAAGTGCGTCTTTGAAAAATTCGAGCCCAAAGAGCGCAAGTTCAAAGAATACTAGGTCTGTAGCCCAAAAGACTCCGAAGCTCAGAAATATTACTTATAAGAATTTGGACTAGCTATTGGCTAAATCTTGGCAATAAATTCTGTTTTTTAAAATAGATCAAGATAATTTCCCAGAGGACTTTTAAGGGAAATGCCACAGATTTTAAGCTTAGATTGACATATGTACAAAAACATAAACTATTACAGAGAATACCATAACTATATCATCATAATATATTCAAAATTCTAAATATCCTTAGGATACTTGTAGGTATCTGGCAATGATACCATGGGATATTGATTGATATCCGGCCACAATACCAGTACCCAATCGTGATACCGACCAGTATTCAACTGCAACACCGGCGTCCGGTCGTCATACCAGCTAGTATCCACCATTACCATTAGCACTTCCACTACCATAATACTATAAACATACAAAATGTTACAAAATAACAAAAAAAATACATAACAAATAATAAAAACATTTCACAGATAAAAAAACTAAACAATAGTCGGACATCAAGCACCGGAGACGATCTCCACCACCGTGGCTGTCGTGCGCGGTCGGTTTATCCGCGCATCTCGGGCACAAGAAATGTCAGATCTCCACGAGCAGTCCATACCGCCTCAAGGCCCTCCCTCAGAGATCTTAGATCTTCTTGCCACTGTGGGAGATCAAATTCCTTCATTGGAGATCTTCGAACCTTAGCACCGCGAGATTCTGTCTGCCGCTGCTGAGTGGAGATTGCCTCGATTCATCGTCGCAAATCAAATACTGTAGATCTCCGGTGACGCACGACGCCTTGTTGATGCTGGTGAAGAGGGGAGGAGATCATCTCCAATAATGGCCCAGGCTGGCGACGAAGTCTAGCAGGTTAGAGAGAGAGAGAGAGGAGAGAGGAAGAGCAAAAGAGTAGCTTTGGGTATTTTGGTCTACACAGTTTCTTTTTTTAACTAGCCGTAGCTGAAATTGGAAGAGTTTTTCTCCTCCCGGCACAAGGCAATCCACACTAAACAGTTGTGGTATCCTCCTAAATATCTCGTTCTCGGAGCCGAGCAAGTCCAGTGACCCAAATCAGTTCACAAAGCCCAACAACCAAGCTGACCCAAGTCAAATATTCACGTCTAGCATGGACAATGCCTCAAATCAAACACACCAACCTACCAATTCCATTTTTTCACATAAATCCAAACCTGTTTTACCCAAAGGTAACCAAACAACAATTATTTATGTTACGTCACGGTCCAGCAATCGATCGTTCCTTTGGCTGTCAAGCGCCGAGGTATCCTCAGTCGAGAGTTGGTTGCTGACATCGAGGAAAAGGTAGTACGTAGGATGCCCTCAAGACGACATGAGTTCATGCAGGAGGAGGATATGCATCGAGAACTCCACCCAAGCCGTGAGGTTCACGACGTCGAGAGAGTAGCCCAGTCAAATCTAAACCAAACCACGTCAACTCAAGAAAAGATACACTGTTACAATTGCCACGATTCGGGTCAGGAAATCAGATAACTAATAAAGGTGATTGGCCTGATTTGGTAGTTAAAATCGTAGATGTACAACTGCCAGATCCCAAGATTTAGGTGAAACAGGATGATCTCCTCGGGAAATGTAGATGAGATCTCTAATATGTGAAAGGCCTATAAATAGAGCCGGCTTGATTCATTAAGTTTTTGACGCACTATTCTACTGCTTGAAAAGATTGTAGTCAGTAAAATATTTGTGCATCCACAAGTGAACGTAGGCAAAGATTTCTTGCCGAACCACTATAAATTTATGTGTTTTTTATTTTGCTGCAACCATAATCTTTGACTAATTCATGAGAAACGTCTGCGAGTGTTCCTGGAGAGTTAATCTTTAGTTGACTAAATTTTTCGGTCAACAATTTCTTTGAGAATTTCATTTTAAGTTATTATAGTGACACCCTCTGTGCCTTATCAAAATAATAGAGACACTCCCTTGGCAAGACAAATCACATCAACATCTCCTAACTTTTTTTAAAAAAATTGCAGAGACACCAACTTTGTTAGTTGACCGTGGCTCCTGACCCAAGTTTGACGTTAATTTTTTCAATAATACCAAAAATACCCCTCCATGGATTGGAAAATGCTCCCAACTATATCCAATGCTTGAAATGATGTTTTTACCCTTTAAAAACAACTAAAATTCAGCCTAATTGAATTTTTCA